TCAGTTATTACAACTTTTGAATAAAAACGAGCTTTAAATAAGATTAAGGTGCTAGTGATTACGTAATTACAAGTGACAATTAATAAAAGTACAAAATCATGCGAAAGAGCAGAAAGTGGTGTTAATTAACAAAGAACAAAAAACAAAATCAACAAAGCGCAAAAATATCGAATAAGTCAAAAACAAACTATTATGAAAATAATTGGCAGAGTCTGAGAGATAAAAGCTAAAAACTAAAAGACCAGACTGGCTAAAACAAATATTTGTTTTAGCCAGTCATATGCCATAGGCCAAGTTTGCCATATGCAAACGTTAGATAAAAGTAAATGGGTTTCTCTTGAACATTAAATTTGTCAGAACCCATTTGATACACTTGTGCAGACAGAGGTGCTGTGAGAGTAAAGTGTCTTGTTCAAGAATACAGCACATTGCCGCCCCCCAGCCATAAATATTATTACCAATCCAGAAACGAACAAATGACTACAACCACTTGTGAAATAATATTTACCTGTCTTAACATTATTTGGTTTTCCAGACGCCTGAAAGAACAAAACAAGCATTACTGACTGAGACTAAGACAATTATTATTTTTTAAACAGTAATTATTATTGGATGAGGTTTTTGTGATATCCAGAATAATCAAGGTTGAGGTAGGGGTTATCAGCCAAAGCCAAAGGCTTGATTACTCTGGATATCACAAAAACTGAATGTACTAATTGTTTTATTACACATTGAACAAAAGAAAAATGGAAGTCATGTTTTTGTTTCTGCAGTGATGGCAAGCAACACAAAGCGTGAACACTTGACATATTACTCTTAGAAATCATGCACTGCGGTCATACATGACATGATTACCTGTGACCTTGAGTGTCCTTGACATGATTATTATATAATCTGCAGCTAGATTACATGACAGGCGCTGATTTCGAAAATTCACTGTACGCTTTCGGCCAATCAGAAAAGAGATAGTGAGTTCAATGTATAATAATATTCTAAACACAACGTGATACAAAACTTGAAACTTGATTATTGCCTGGCCTCACTTTGGAGGCAAGTGGGAATTCCTTGAACATTTGGAACGCATGATTACTTCTGTCAATGGCTACATATCATTTCTAAAGCCAGAATAGTCCTGACACATGGCATTTAACAAATTGACGTCAGTTTTTCATGCGTCTGTCCTGTTATTGATCATAAATTTTGTTATAACATTGTCAAAGTAGCTGTGGATCCACAGACTACTTTGACAATGTCATGACGAAATTCATTGTCGATAACAGGACAGACGCATGAGAAACTGACGTCAATTTGTTTTTTACAATATCAAATTGTCAAATTGTCCACTCTCGCTCGTTGATGCATTGCATAAATTATAAATTCATGCGTCTGTCTGCTTGTTGACAATGAAAATTAGCCAATGAGTACACGAGAATTGCTGCAGTTATTCTAAAAATGAAAATTCATCCACCATCTGCTTTGGCTGTAATATTATCACTTAGCCAAAATAGCAAAGTTAAAACAAATTTGTATAGCACACATGGCATGAGAGAATTTATCTGATATTTGTTTAGTGTTAGCTGTACATCAACCAATTAAAATGCTTTGAGATTGGCTGAGTGGTCTAATTAGTAAGTAACTGGGTTGGTTTTGATTTTATGACACTCAATTAAAAAACGTTCTATCTCACCTTTTTTTTTTGAAAATCGTGCACTAATTATATATTAAATGACTTTTTATCTTAACCTCTTGAGAGAAACTGGAATCAAACTCCTCTGAAGCTGATTCAACACCATGCTGCTCTAGCTGTCGGAACCAGTGAGGTACTGTTTCATCATTATCATCATCCACGTGTTCACTGATGATCTCATCACTCTCAATCAGGGATTCATTTTTGTCAGCAGGCTTGTCTGTCTCTGTCCAGAATAGTGATGACTTCTTAGTGGAAACAGCCTGTTTCAATATTGAAATAAAGGTCATAAATTTATCATTCCAGACATTTTTCTCTCCCTTTTCATTGGCCAAGAGCCAAACACATGACCTGTAAATAACTGCCTACAAATAACAGTCTGCTCGTGTGTAGCACTGCCTAAATGTGTTTTGCTGCAAATAATATTCTGCTCGTAAATGCGTTATTGTAACCATGCTCTCGAATGAAAAATTGCAGATCGCTTCCTTGAGCTGTCAGAGTGATTTAAATATGAAAACAAACTTGGTGATCAAATGATAAAACAATTATTGGACTTGGTTATGGCAAAATATTGTGATTTGCCAGTCCAGGGCTCAAAGTTAATGACCAACTGGTCGCATATGCGACTAGATTTTTGGCTGTGCGCCCAAAAAAATCATGTGTGGTCGCACCACCGCGCCTTCAAAGCCAAAGTACAGTGCAACTTCTCTAGTGCTTACTCACCTGACCATACTAACGTACTTAGATTGATAAATATCATATAAACATAGATATAACACAACCAGGCACCAAATAATAAAGTTGCACGTGACCATGTTCCTTTCATCGGTGTGTGTTCTATTCGTCATCTTTAAGCCTAATTTCCCAGTGGATTCTCCGAACTCAAACGTTCATTTCTTCCCCACGTTCTGTGTTGTAAACAACTCCGCTGACACATATGCATGCAAATGAAGGAATGAAGCACATGCTGATCGATGATCTAGCGGAAAGCGTGGAAACTGGGGATGAGAATTAAATCGTGTGCTTGTTCTTCGCGAACAACAGTTACAGAATGCTGCGTTTTGTAAAGAAAACTTTGTTTTTGCTTGTCTGACATACAAAAATGTCCAGCGTTTTTGGAACGGGCCGGTCCATGAGTTCTATGGCTTGAAAGCTAGCCAAATGAGCAAAGTTCTTGCTAGTTCTACCCAGATGTTGAATAAATCAAGAATGTTTGTGAACAGAATTTCAAAGGGAGGCAAACAATAAGCAATTGGATAGTGAGGATACTCAACGGAGCGACGTCAGTAGTTAACTGATCTAAGCATAACCCTTGTGTGAAATATCCTGATTCTTTTATTTGTTTTCGTTGTGTTCAATACTGCTAGAATAGGCCCATATTGCAACAGGAAGCCTGAGTCGCTCTTATTGGAGCGTTAAGTATTCTTTTCGAGTAGGTGCTCCAAGTATTTAAAGCTGTGCGCCTAAAAATTTACACCTGGTCGCACAAGTGCTCCCAAAGCCAAAAATAAACTTTGAACCCTGCAGTCTCTTGCAGATCAATTATTCGCCACAGTCTTGGCTTTATAGATTCCACCTTGGGATAGGTCCAGATATTTTCTGTAACTGCGCAATGGTTCCTTACCACTCCAGGTTGGTACAGAACATATTCATCTTTAAAGACTGCTCCTCCGTCACGTGTGTTAGGTACAGGCTCTAGCCAGCCAGACTCCAGCAAACCTTGACCAATCATAACAGCCTGATTTCTATAGTGTGTTCAATATAAGTAAATACTCAAAGATGGGTCTTCAATTATAATACAAACAAAGTACAAGATTTTACTTTGACTATGCTCAAGTTTCATGGAGTGACCTCTTGGAGACACGTTTGATATTGGTTTTCTGTTAAGAAGTCAATCAAGTTCCCCTTTAATCCTTTAGGCAGAATTCCGTTCTTATAGTTTACATATGGTCTACAGTGCAGGATTTATGTGGCAAAAGACTGTTTATTCACAAAAGAACATGGAAAATCAGTGAAAATTTGCATGACCAAAAAGGAAGCCAAAAAGTTTTTTTTTCCATAACAACTATTAATTATCGAGTGTAAAGGGTGGTCGTAAGGGGGGTTCCACTGTATTTAACAGGAACACGATTAAAAAAGTAAAACGGAAACAGCAACGAAAACAAAAAAAAAACTAATAACTCAACATAAAGACTACAAGCTGAAGATGAATTTAATTTATGAATAATCATTATAATAATTTTAAGAAAATTTTAAAAATAATGGTTTAATATATTTATTTATAAGAAAATTATTAAATTCATGGCTCTAAGTATATGCTACTTCCAGAATGAACTGAAAAATTAAAATAATTTGGAGCATTTATAAGTTTTATTAAAAGGAAAGACTAATGTCTACATGTAAGTAAATACCAAATATTTTATACCTTGTGGAAGTTTTCTCATACTTAAGCAGCCAGTCAACTAATTCACTTCCAACAAAACAATTCTGGTAAGTCCTCAAACGGAAGCGATGGCTCTGTAGTTCTAATCCAGACCTTGGGGACATTATTTGATTCCACAACTCACGGAAAGAGTCCTTAAATTGGACAAAGTAAAAACAGCATTAAAACGCTGAGTAATCAGTGAGATAATATTAAAAATAAGTATCTTATTAGGCAATCATGAGTTTGATAATAATTTGAAATTATATTAATAGTACATCTCCAAACATGCTCCAAGACACATTCTTCAAAGACAGCGTAATGACACTATAGGTGAAAACTAAATTATAGCAGCTGTATTATTAGCTCAGTGACTCAAAGATACACGAACACTGTATCAAGTTTTGGTTCAAACTTGGCCACAGGTGGTTCAGATAACGTTGAAAAGTACAGTTAACAGGAGTTCAATGATGCCCTGCTTTAATTTTGCCTGTACCGTGCCTGATTTTACATATTCTTGTACTAGAAAATTTCATTTTCAACCTTAACCCTTTACTCCCTTTATTATGTGTGCCATTTGACACACAACTTCATCAGTAACTTTGTGAATATTTGAGAGATTTCTATGAATTTTTGCCACAACAATTGTCTTGTAAAGATCTGCTTATTGAAGGCATAAAATTGTGACCCCCTCCTTTCGAAGACATGGTTGACCACCCACGAAATTTTCCAATTTCTTTTTTGAGATGCACTTGGAACACAAGACTCATTTCACATCAAGCTACAAGTATGTACTAAGACCTGCTAAATAAGCTATAGCTCAGGGGTATACCTATGATATTTGAGAGTTGATATGCACTGGAAGTCGATACTCAAAGTTTAAAGCAATTCCTTTCAAAATGAATACCTCCTCCATAGCTGCTAATGTCAGTTCTTAAATATACTGATCAGTGGTTTTCAAATGGTATATTGTACACAGGCAGAGAGTCTTTATTAGCTGATTCAGGAAAAACTGCCATTCACTTTAGGGGGTAAACCGTAAAGGGTTAGGGTAAAAATAACCTGTCCACTTCCTGTGAGATTTTGAACCCTAACACTACCCATAGAGGGACTTACATTGACATCCAAAAGGAAATTTTGAGCCAAGCAACGTCAAGTGAAAGGCCAGTAAAATCTACATCAAGCCAATATACACCCAGAGACTTCCACTGACCTGTTTCAACATGTCAGCTTCTGCCGCACAGACTCCAAATGCATCAAACGGTCTCCTCCCTGACATGGGTGATGGTCTCTCTTTCAGCTCAAACTTTTCGTAATAAGAATTCATTCCAGCCGTGCCACTTGCACCAGTACCACTAACCTTTCTGAGCAATGGCTGAATATAGATATGCTCTTCATCGTCAAAATCAAAGGGATAGGGTTTAGGAACTGTCATAGTCATGTTGCTATTGTTAGTGGTACTCAAGTCTGGCTCAGAGTTGATTGTGCGCAGGTCAGCCTGTAGCTGTTCCAGATTTCTGGTGACATTCAAGTCAGAGGACTGAGTGTAATGCTGTACAACTTTGTGGCAGTAGGTGCACACTCGTAAGAACCCTGGTAAAAGATGGATGTCAATCATTTTGTTGGTGTACCATAAATAACATTGCAGTCTAAGGGCTGTCATTAAGTTTTGGTTCACCTCTGGTCTTGATCTTCACACCTATAACAAACTTCAGTTGATACTTTATGGGTGAATTGTCTCAACAGCAGGCAACTTCACTCATACTATCAAAAGCCCACACGGCATACTCAGCGCTAACTGTAACAGGTGTTAGGTATTAGAGCCCTCTGCAGTCCAGTCAAGCTGATCCACACAGCTTGGCAACTTTTAAGTGGCAACTTTTAAGTTCCTTTGAGATCTATCCCACCTCCCCCAACAGAAAAGTCCCTTTATAAGATGGGTGTGGATATTTTTAGAACCTTTCATGTTATAAAGTTACTCTTAGTTTACCTGTATATCCCATAAGCTGTCCAGGAATTTCCAGGTAACAACACCTGTAGCAGAATATTTGGCCACAAAGACGACAGTGATGTCGACGGCGAAAAGTGTTGAACTTCTCACTGCATTCATAGCACTCTTTACAATTCTCATCTGGCATCCAGTACTGCTTGAAATCACTCTCCTTGTACTCTTGTCTCAGCTGAAAACAAAGAGTTTGTGGTTCTAAGTATTAAATATGTTAAAGTGGCTTTCATTTGAGTGTCAAAAAGTGATTGGTTTGGCACTCACTATGCCACACAATTGTCTTAAAATACTTGTGCTTCTTTTTTGAAGTTTTATCAATACTAATTTTTATGGATAGAAGACTCCGGGATCTGTTATTTCATATAAGTTAAGGCGATTCTCACTTTTCAATCTGCAGATAAAACTCGTGTGTAGCTATTTAATACATGGAATTAAGCTACTGAGCAGTACTTTCCCGTGGTGCCATTCATAATTTTGCCAAATTTTTTTATCCATGCTGAAATTTAACAAGATCTGTATTTTTGCACCCCATGATGTGAAAACCAACCGTGCCATTAACAACAGCATTTCCTGGAAATATCAATTTCCTGCCCACAGATTTTTTTTTTTCTTTACCCACAAGTACTGACCTGTCCTCCTCCGTCTGCAGCCGCATTGAGGCGGCCCAGAACAGCGTGTACATTACGATGACCAGGAGAAGCACGTCTCGAGGGAACAGAACTACCAGCTTGCGCACTGGAACGCCTCCTAATCAGTGGAGAGGCTGATGACCACGATCGCTGCAGTGGTTCAGGGCTTTTCGTTCGTTTCTGCAGCTGCGGAGAGCTACGGGGACTTACTAAAGGGCTGACTGGACGTTGGCCCTTTGACGCATCCACCTTGACTTCCACTCTCGCTTCATGCCGTTTTCTCTGGAAAAATCGAGCTAGAGAGAAGTTCGATTTGGAATGGTCTGGACTGAGTGGACGAAATGATGTCAGTCTTACATCCTCCTCGGAATCCATCTTGGTTTGATTGAAGGCCACTAGCCTCTTGACACCGTGTGTGTTTTCTTTGTTGCTTTTCTTAGCATTTTAGCTAGGAACTGATAAGCCACTTTCACAGAAATAAAAATAGTCTTCAGGGGAAATCTCCCTCGATAAAGTCCTACGACATCTACAACAGATTCTGCAGCGAAATATCCTTCTGAGCCTGCAGACTAGGTCATAAGATCAAAAGGTACGTCAAGTAACTGACACAGATTATCTCAAATACCATTTTCACAAAGATGGCGACCAACGTGGCAGATTTGCGTGAAAACCTAGGACTTCAGCTTTCAGAGGTTGAAATGCTTCGATCTATGTATCCTGAAGAAGACGAGCTTAAATTAGATGACGAAGCACTCATAGACATTCAAGAGTTTTGTTCTGGGAAGACAGCGGAGAAACCAAATGGCTTGAACTTTTCACTTTCCATTTACCCAGACTGTGAATCAGAAAGCCATTCTGCGATAGATCTGTCATGTTATTTTCCTCAGGATTATCCTGTTGTTAAACCAGATTTTTTTGCCAGATCGCAAAGCCTAAACAGAGACGTTCAAAAAGAGTTGAACGATGATTTAAGTTCATATATTTCAACCCTTGATAGTGGGGAACTTTGCACCCTACCAGCAATACAGTGGATTCAAGAAAATGGCGATGGATACATAGTAAGAAGTCGAACTGAAAGGTCAACATCTGAGACAGAAAATAAGTCACAATATAGTGAGTACAAAAGCAAAAAGGGAGCCCTCTTCCTGCGAATGTGGCTGTACATGCATCACATTTATAGTAAAACAAAAAGAAAGGATATTCTTCAATGGGCTTCTGATTATAACCTAACTGGTTTTTGTTTACCAGGGAAACCAGGAGTTGTTTGCTTGGAGGGGGATGAATACAATGTTGAAGGATATTTTAGTCGTTTACGCCGGCTCAACTGGAAGAAAATTACATGCCGCCACCGAGAGAAAGGGACAGCAAACAAGAGTGTTAATGATCAGAGGAAATTTACTGGGTTTGTTGAACTTTTCTTTGAAGTTCATGGCACTAGAGAAAACCACATGGACATGGGACAATTTCTTCATTATTTAGAGGAGCATGACCTTGGTTACATCTTTCAGGTTCTATTTGGTATTGAAGGGAAATCTAATTGTGATGTTTGATAGCTGTATTGTGGAATAAAAGGAAGAACAGGAAACAGACCAGGAAAGCTCCACCAATTGCTATAAACACCTATTAGAAACCTACTTTTACCACAGGCAACCCAACTTTCTACATGAATAGCTGTATAATTATTTTTCTTTTATATTTCTGTTTCTTTCTTTCTGCTTTTGTTTTTGAAAAAACAGAAATTGATTTAGTTTAGTTTTGGTGTGATCTTATCACATTTTTAGAAAGACTGACGACAGCTTTAGGAGCTTTTCAAGGAAAGATTCTTTTATTAACATAAATGCAATACATTACAACATAGCTATAGATTGTCCAGTTATCCTGTGCTTCCATTCGGATCTTTTTGTGGTATGGCTGTCACAAGCAATATTTTTCTTATGAAGCATAAAAATCATGCACCACCTATAAATGATACTTATATTTGATGAACTTTTAATTATGTTTTGCTTTCTTGTATCATGAACTGGTATCCACAGTTCAATCATGAAAGTCTAAATAAAAGCTTGAGGAATGGAAAGTCTAGATTTCTTCCAAGGTCAGGCAAAACTGAGAAAATTATTTTTCAAGTGGCTTCCAATTTGTTGGGTGTTTTTATTTTTGAACTTGATATGTAATAATTATTCTTTCTAAAGAA